ACTTTAGCAGGTGCATATCAACATTTCGTTAGAACAGGTTTTGTTGTTATTAGGAAGAAGTTCAAATTACTTTGCAAGCGAAGTGATTTATAATTGAAGTTTATAAGTTAACAAAGAATTGTTTACCAGGAGGATGCTTATGATTTACCACGCCCTTTAGCAGGAGCATATCAAGGGATTCATATTGAAAAAGGAGTGCCAACATCTACTGGAAATCTATATAAGTTATATCAAATCAATCAAAGTCAACAAACAGTTATATACCAGGAGGATGGCAACATTTATCACGCACTTTAGCTGGAGCATATCCTCCTGTTGGGATTAGTAGCTACTTAAACTTCGCTTCTTTCGAGTCATTAACAAATAGCTTCAACTATATTTTATTAATTCTTTGGCATGTTCTACAATAAGCCTCTGGACCGAGCTGCTTTTTAAAAATAAAGCAACCAAAACAACATTTAATCTGAGGCTAAGCTGTGGCATTATTTTCTGTTGAATATTTAAATTTCAAATATGGAATAGCACATATTTATTTATATATCAGTTTATTTGAAATTGAATTATTTACAAATTTAAAATGAAGAGCGCTTCGAGAACTCACGTAAACAACGACATATTCCAAAACTCTATTAATTAGAATTTGCGAGCTGAAGAAATATATATGTCATACTATCATACTTTTGTTGTTTTATAAGTTGTTGTTGTAGCTTTAGCAATTTTGCCCTAGCAATGATGTTAAGCAAAAGCGTTGTTTGCGCACGATTGTGCCTATATAGTATTTATTACTATATAGTATTACGATCTGAGAGACTTTTTATAGATATGTTGGGGGGGCCGAAGTGAAGCTTGGGTACGATTGTATCTATAATACTCTAAGGTATTCCCATTTTGTAGATATGCTGAGAAAATAGTCAAGCTTGTAACTGAAGTGGGTCGAAGATTTCTTGATAAACAGAAAATATTATTAAATAAAAAGAAATCCCATTTTGCGATTGATTATATGATATAGTAGTTCGATATGGATAAGTTTTAGCTTACTTTTAGAAGCAGGATACAAATTTTGGATAACGTAAGATAAGGCAGAGTTTTTCATATGAAATAATGTTTCGATCCGGCAGGCGAGACGGACCTAGGCAAAGTTTCGTCAGAAATGCCTTCGAAAGGCAGAGATAGGTGGCGATATGGCTATACATGGATACTGATCAGGAATATATAAATATACATATATAAATACACCGTACTTGGTCGAAGACATATGCTTGCACCTATCTCAATGTGCAAGGGTATAAAAGTGCAAGGTCAGCTTAGAAGCAAATACTGCCATCGTGTTTCTTACTTTGTTTTCTTCTTTTTGTCGCCTGAGCACACACAACAAACGTTGACTGTGTGTGTTCGTGTGTGTGCGTTTGCCGTGCGGCGAGCCAAGCAACCCCTCGAAGCACAACAACAACAACAACGACAACGACGACTGCAAGAAACTGAAGCGGATGAGCGACAGGTAAAAATGCTAATAGTAGATAACGGGAAAACAACAACAACAACAACTTTGGGCAGGTTGTCGTTGTTGTTGTTGTTGTTGCTGCTGCTGAGAGGCAGCCCTGTTGAGTTTTCCCAGGCCAAGCGGAGCATTGCCTGCATTTGCACAGGTGCTCAAAGGTGAGAGCAGGAGAGTGTGCAAGACAAACAGTTCGTACAGCATCCGCAACAGCTGAGCGTTGCCAGCATGCAAAAGCAAACATATAGCAGCGCTCGAACAGGGTTGCCAGATTTCAAAAATTGCATTTGCCATAATTGAATTGAGGCATAAATTGAAAAGAAATTAAGAAATGAAATAAAGTACGAATATAAATGAATCGCTCTCTCTCTCTCTTCTTCTCTCTCTCTCGCCCTCTCTCTCTCTCTCTCTCTCGCCAACAGGGTTGCCAGACTTCAAAGTTTGCATTTGCCAACATTGAGTTAGGGAATAGAATGAAAACAAACTAGAAAATGAAATGAATGAATATAAAATATAAATGATTCGCTCTTGCTCTTTCTCTCTCTCTTTCTTTTCTTTCTCTCTCTTCCTCTCTCCCTCTTATCTTTATCTATTTATCTTTTAATAGGTTTCTTGAATTTGATTCACATTTTTGTTGCCTTGTCGATCACCGAAATTGGAGCGCACATCCGCCTTCAGCTTGGTCAGCAGAGCACACGCCATTCGCAGGTGTGGAGAGCTCTTTTAGTATTGTCTGCAATTACGTGAACTTATTAACTTTCTCCCAAATCAATGGAACACAAATGCGACAAATAAATGTATATATCCATTACTATATAAAACAACAACAACAAAAAAAACAACAGCTAGTTATGTACAGTGAAAGCTCCACTGACAAACAACTTGCTAGTCCCTACCTAATCTAATTCGTTAATAGAGAAGTTCTTGGTAATCCTGCGACATTATCCTTTTTCAACAAATTCAACTCATAGAGCAATTATTTCTTCTGGATAACTCTCCGTTAGCACAGCTTTATGGTTAAGTTCTGCTGATCCTATCCTATCCTATACGACCTTTCTGCCTGCCTATCTGAACTCTTCCAGTTTTAGAGATATCTTGATGAGAATTGGGTTGGATCGAACCACTATATCATATGGGAAAGAACAATTTGAATACGAAGGAGACAAAGAAAGAGAGAAACTTTTTGGTTTTCCCCAACCTAACGAGCTTTACCTGAGTACAATTATTTATATATATGCTTATGAATGCAAATAAGAAAGAATGTTAAAAGAAAAGAAAATAGATTTTATACAGAAATCTTGTTTGTAACTCAAGATATCTTACGATATCTAGATATCGATTTTAATGTTTTGTGAACAACCGGACAACGCCGGGTTATCTGTATGCATTCATGTGTATATGCATGAGTACCGTATGCAGCTGAGTGCTTCCTCTTTTCTTTTCTAGCTCAACAACTTTGTGATATCCTTGAAAATGACATTTTGCCTTTAAGCCCTTCAAGATCCTTAGGCAAAGCCCAATCAGAGTTCCATAAATAGAAATAAGTAGATGATGATTCAGGGTTTGAGTGGGGTTGCTGCTAGTTGAAAGGGGAAGGGGAAAGGGCGTAGGGGTAGCGGGGACTTACCGCACACGTCCAGCCAGCCCTCGACGCGGCTGGGGTAGGAAATTGCATAGGCGCGATTCAGATACGTGCGACGTCCCATGTTTTTTTTCTTTCTTTATTTTTTGGGTGGGTGGTGATTTTCCTCTTCTTCCTTTTCCTTATGGGATGCTGCGCGCGCTCTCTCTCTCGTTTCCCTCTCTCTCTCCGCCTGTGGCGTGCGCTCTCCTGCGGCGGCTGCTTCTCGACGCTCGTTATCTTTCGGCTTATCGACAAGTTGTCGAATAGCTGCTGCTGCTGCTGCTGCTGCTTGTTGTTGTTGTTGTTGTTGTTGTTAGCTGCTTAATTTGAATATTGATTTTGTTGTCGCCGCTGCTTTTGTTGCTATTTATTTGCCATATATTTGATTTTATTGCACTTGTCTTCGACCAAAACGGTTTCAGCGTCCAGTTTTAGTTTCGAATTTGCACTTTTTGTTGTTGCGGCTGCAGCCTTTTTTGATTAAAAGCTCAAGAGCACCGCAAGAAAACAAAAATATAAAAAAAAACAAACGTATGTATATATATGTATTTATATATTAATTAATCACGATTTTTGTGTTTTTTTTTTGTTTTGTATTTGCTTTTGTTTTTTTGTTGATTTCTTTACGCACGGCTCAAGCTCAATGCTGACTCTCTCGCTCTTTCGCGCTCTCTCTCACTCCTTTGCTGCCGCGCGCGCTTTGCTCTCTTCAGTGTGTCCGTGTGTGTGTTTATTATTTGGGCTATTTTAGCCTTTTTGCCTGCAACAGCTGTGGCCCCAGGCGCTGTGAGAGCGGCAGAGAGAGAGAGCGGGCGATGTTGAGATGCTCGAACAAATTTTCAAAAAACTCAACTGCCGCCGCCCCCCGCGCCCCTTTTCTGACACAATACTGTTGTTGTTGTTGTTGTTGGTTTGTTGTCCAAGCACACGCATACATACATATATATTGTTAATATTGTGAGTCGAAGGCCGGTCGGCGCATATTGAAGTTTTATTTATTGTTGCTGCCGCTGTTGTTGTCGCGCCAACGAAACCAGAAACTTTTTTAACAGTCGCAGACGCCGCTGCTCACACACACACACACACACACACACACACAGACAACAAGTGCACGAGTATTGGAGTACATATGCGCTTTTCGGTGTATTATTTTTAAAAATACTCCAGCAACAAAACCAAAACAACAGCCAACCAACACACACACATCCGACAAAAAAAAATTAGCACACACTTTTCAGTTTGATCAAACAAAAAAAAGAATGAATAAAAACGCACGAGTTTTCTTTTAAAATGCACGCCAACTGCGCGCGACGTCGGCAAATGCAACAACGAACATTTAAAAAAAAAAAACAAGTGTAACTGTAATGCGTGCGCGTCAAAAGGCGCGACGTGCCAACCGCGCAGCAACAAACATTAACTAACTGATAAACAATGTGACCGGTATTGACAAGCACAAAAATACGGCACACGCAAACAGCTAAGAAAACTACCAGACACACTTAAATACCAGCGTTATGGTATTTTATGCGCGGCTGCATTTTGGCAAGCAGCTAAAAGTATGCTATACAAATATATATGCGCCAGCAAGTGAGAGAATATGTGCGGGCTAACTGCCTGAGCACTTATCTTTACCTGTGGCGCTCTAAAACACTGTAAATAAATTGATAATCAACAACAATTACCTTAAATAAACATTTGCCACTAATCTCTTTATGCGCACAATGTCAAAATTGATAAAAATACGTTTTGGCAGTGCGACTTGACGCAAGCTGCAGAGAGTAAAAATAGTTGTTGCCTACTTTCAGGGCGCGCGGCAAAAATGCGCGCACAATTTTCAAATATTCAAAAAATACAAGATATTGAGTTTTGCTTGTTAAACGGTTTACATGAGTTTTAATAGTGCACATAATTAGTATGTAGTTATTAGAAGATAATCAAATACACATAATATTAATAACATTATTTTTATAAGTAAATAGTTCTTGAACTTGTTTTTGTTGTTGTTACAGTTTTTGCTGCGCATTGTTTCTGTGCAAATTGCATTCGTAAATTACAACTACAATAGCAACGCAGGAGCACAACGAATTTAACTATATATACATATATATATATATATCTATATATATATATATATATGTGTGTGTGTGTAGATATATATGTATACCTGTGTATAGGTATACGCATATTGTTGTTCAGTCTTTGCTTTTAAACTTAACGGGTTAAGAGAGAGAGAGAGAGTGGGAAAAAAAAACAAAAAAAAAATTGCATACATACGCAAGTAGGTATATATGCATATATATATATATATATATGATTGACAACTAGACTACGTTTGGGTAATGGTTAATTAATTGATTTTTTCATATTTCATTTTGTTTCTTTTTTCTGTTTTAACACATTTCTGCGGAATGTGCTAGGATATTTCCTTGGCGGGGCGCAGCCCCATGGAACGCTTCAGTATTATCGTTATCTATATAGTTTTCTATATATCTCGATATATATATATATATATCGATTTTTATTTTCTTGCTCTGGCTTTCACATCTTGCCGGCCTCCTCATCCTGGCCGCTCGAGGCGGGCGCTGGTGACACCGAACCGGAACCGGAAGCTGAACCCGAACCCGAACCGGAGCCGGAACCGGTGCCAGATGCTGTGCCCGTTGCGGTCTCCGTTTCGATGGCCGCCTGCAGCTCGACGAATATGTCAATGAGATTGTTGATGCCAATCAAATAGCCATCCTCATGGTTGCCCACCTTCCACGCCGAATAATGATCGATATGCATCTGCGGGGGCAGGGCCACCGTCTTGGCGAAGTCAATTAGCCAAACGCTCGCGTGCGTCTGATCGTGCACAAAGAGCAGCGAGCTCCCGATCACCTCGTGCGTCTGAAAGAACTCGGATACGGCCAGGGTGGCGCGAATGGCCCGTAAGCGTTGTATATAGCGTGGCTGTAAAAGCAGCACAAACCAAAGATCGGATTAGGCAGGCGGTAATATAACGTAATCAATATAAACGGTTAAGGGGCATATAGAATAAGAGATCCATCTACAAATTCTTGATCAGCAAGTATTATAAGTTTCATACAGAAAGTCACGTTTTTTTAGCTTCAAGAAACAAAGTTTAAACTAAGTAGAAAGTATATGAATTAACTGTAACAATTAGTGTGCTTATTATTTTGGCCACGAGTGTACATACAGACTGCAGCCAATAAACGAATCTATGTTAAGTTTCATGCGGATAGCTTGCTGCTGAGGCAATGCACATGGTAAGATAGGCGCGACATGACCTTAAGGACTCGGACATGATGGATCTGGGAATATTTACCCACTGCAGGGGGGATTGGGGAAAATAGAACAGGTTACAGGGATTAACGCACCAGAATATGTGGATGGCCACTGAGGAACTCGCTGAAGGCCAATTTAATTTGTTCGCGTGACTTGGTCGTTTTGAAATCTTTGGAACTGGTGCCATCGCTTTTCTTAATGCCCTGTTGAGAGAAAGAAATAAAGAGATGAGCTTAGAGCAGAATCTGGGGGCAGAGCGGCGCCTGCGACACACACCTCAATGCGAAAGCCCAGCGTTGCGGTGCTGGAGATGGTCTCGCGCCAGACCATGTATCGTGGCTTGGTAACCGCCTTGGCCGCATGCTCCTCGGCATTGGGGGCCTGTGCATCGATTTGTATCATTTTGTCGTACATGTCCTTGCGCAGCTTCGGCTTCTCCTTGGCCTTGGACAGCTCCTCCTCCAGATAGGTACGCACACCCACTTTGCAGTCCATCACGCATGGCTGCACATAGTCGCTGAGCAGATCCTGCAGCTGCAAATAGACTGAAAGTAACGCAGAGTTGGAATTATACAGAGCATCAGGTCAATCAATCAGTCAGTAAGTCAATCCATTTATCAATTAGTCAGTCAGTAAGTCAGTCAATTTATCAATCAATCACATAGTCAATCAGCCAGTCTGTCAGAAAGTTACGTTTTTACTCAGTCTGTCAATCAAATAGTCAGTAAGTCAATCAATTTATCAATCATTCACACAGTCAATCAGCCAGTCTGTCAGACAGTTAAGTTTTTGATCAGTCAGTTAGCTGTCAATCAATCTTTCAGTAGGTCAATCAATTTATCAATCAATCAGTCAGTAAATCAATCAATTGCACAGTCAACCAATCAGTCAGTAAGTCAATAAATTTATCAATCAATCACACAGTCAATCAGCCAGTCTGTCAGAAAGTTGCTGATTTGATCAGTGAGTCAACCGATCAATCGGCAATCAATCAAAATAATAATTAGGTCTGTTAATCAGTTTGTCAGGCATACAATAAGTCAGTCAGCCACACAATCAATCAGTCAGTTAATGAGTCAACCGGTCGGATAGAATATCTATTAGTCAATCAGTCAATTCAATCAGTCATTCGCTCAGCGCAATCTCAATCATGTAGTCACTGTACTGAAACAATCAGTCTGTTAATTATTCGAGACCCTTTGCCAGACATTAGATGAGCTAGTTAGTCAATCGTTCCGTCAGTCAATCATAGTTATAGCTATTAATTCTAGGACTCACGTTCGCCATCCTCGCTGGTCACCTGGCCCTTGTAGACGGGCACATAGGGCCGCAGCACATCCTGCATGAGCACCTGAAAGCACTCCTCCTCCTTGGGGCAGAGCTTCTTGAGGACGGTGCCCGGCTCGGGACCGGCCTTGAAGTTGCCCTGGTGACCGGCCAGCTGCACCCACGGATAGCGCTGCTTCTTGTATGTCTGAAAGAAGGGCGTCCATTGCACAATGTTTCGTATTTTGCGCCAGCCGGAGCTCTGAAAAACGATAAAAGCGAGAAAAAAAACGCTATTAAATATGGTTCTTAATGTTTTTTCAATATTTCAACTGCTTGAATGCGAATATTTGTATGATCGTGGCGCCATCTGGCGGCTGTTGTAATTGCTCGTTAGATGGCGACACTTAAATAAAACGATTCATTGAAAACTTGGCTTGTGATATTTCCAACAGCTGCGCCCCGCGACGCCGTCATGGACGCCCGCCACCTCCCCGGTCGGTGACCATTACGAATACAAGACGATAAAAGTTGATAGCTCGAAATGGGACGAGTTTCGGATGTACAGCCGGGGCGAATGACGTCAGTGATTGAGTAACTACTGGCTAAGCGTTGGATAAGCGGGTTGGGTAAGCCGGATAAGGTCGAGCAAATCTTGAATAACGCCAGAGGCGCGCCACTTAGTTCTTGAGGCACGCCTAACGAGTCCAAATGGGCGTTGTAAAGTTGCGGATAATGCCGGATAATGTCGGATAATACCGAACAGAACTCAAAGTATATCCAATGGCGTATGTGCTTAAGAAACAACTGAGTAAGCACCACATAAGCGCTGAATAGTTCAGGATAAGCAGCGTATGTATGCCGGATAGCGGCAGACAGTTTAGATCTTAAAGTACAGCCGATGACGTCAATGCTTAAACAGCAGCGCACTTAAAAGCGCTTAACAGTGACGTCTAAGCATTGCAAAAGTGCCGTACAATGTCGACTAGCGCCGTATAAGAACGAGAGCGTAGCCAATATTATTAATGTACTGGTTAAGCGCCATATATTGCCGCTCTTTAACCGGTTGTAGCCGGAAAATATCAGACTAAGGAATGAAAATATGGGATACAGTCGTTTATATGTAGCCGGATAACCGCGGATAAGCACATTTGGCTTGAAGGCGGGACTATTGGTGAGTCTTTCATTTGAGAAACAGTAATTTGAATGTTGGAGAATTCCGAATAGTTTCGGATAACTGCGGATAATGCCGGATAAGCGCGGATAACGCCAAATAAAGCCGATTGATCACCGTTGAGCAACACGTAGCAGGGCAGCCAACGTCGTCTTACCTTCTTGGTGCCGCTTGCTGTGGACGCGCCCGCAGCGCCCGAGCCCGTTCCCGTTGTGCCTGAGGCCGCCGACGTGGACACATCAGAGTCCCACTCGGAGCTCAGATCATCGCTGCTGGCATAGCCATAATCGCGCGGCATGGGCACCTCCAGCAGCGACTTGGAGTACTGTATGTAGCCGGGGCAGAGGCTCTGGCCCAGCGGCGAGTGGCTGCGACGCGGCGGCGTCGACATCATCATCAGCGGCAGCGAATGCTGCTGCGACAATTTGCGTCCGGCCGACAAGCTGACATGCTCGCCCGGATTGGCCGTAATGCTAATGGTGGGCATCGATAGTTTCTTTTCGGCGCGCTGCTTAATGCCGTGCGCCTGGGCAAAGGCCAGGCTGCATTTGCGCGTCTGCATATTGTTGCCGGATAGCTTGCGGCGAAAGATTTTCTTCGTGGCGCCGCCGCCGCCGCCGCCGCCGCTGCTGTTGCCACCGCCTGTGCCGGCAGCTGCTGTGGCATTGCAATTGGCATCCTGAACGGGCGCTTCGGCCTCGCTGCCGCCATCCTCGCTGTCGGCGCTGGTCTTGGCGGGCGATTTGCTGCCGGCAGCGCGATCCGCATCGCTATCGACGCCATCGTCGTCATCGACATCGGCATCGGCATTGGGATCGTCCTCGTCATCGAAGCGCAGCTTGGCAATGTCCTCGGGCAGGACGTCGGGAAAGTGCAGCAGCTTGACGGTAACCTTCTTGCCCGCCTCATTGTAATAGACCTCCTTGGCGCTCATTCTGTCAAAGTCCTCGTAGATGCGCACCTGCGGCGATGGCGGCGGCGTTGGCGTCGTCGATGTTGGCGGCGTCGTTGTTGTCGTTCCTACTTGTCCGTTAACGGTACTTGCTACGAGTGCGCACACAGACATTTTACAGGACATGTGAAGGGCGTCCGCGCGACTTGCACTTGCGCATTAGACGCACTGCATCCACCGGCCACAATGAGCTGCACAGCGAGAACCGAGAATCGAGAACCATCAGTTTCTGTGGCACCTGTCACCTGTTGCTGCTGTTGCTGTTGTTGCTGCTGCTGCTGCCTTTGGCTGTGATTGATTTCTGCGCATTTGCGAACCTGTTCGCGCCTTAGCCAACCACCATTGACCCACCGAGCGACCCGCCGACGAATGCAGCTCACGTCACCCAAGCCAAATGTTTATGCAGCTCTAAAAGCACGCTGACTATGCGAATACCCTACAATGAACAGGATTGGCGAATTGGTGGAAACCGGAACCAAAGAGAACCCAAGCCAAAAAGAAGAACAGCTGCACCTTTAGAGTATATAGACTATTTATAAGTCTATGCAACAGGCAGATATGCATAAATATATACACGTCTATTCTTCATTAAGATCGGAAGGTCTTCAAGAAAGGATTTCTGGAAATAAGGGAAGAAGAAGCAGAGCTAGCGTGTCTTTGCATGCTTCTGTGTTGCGTATCCGCTTTAAAGCACACCATTTTTAGGGTATCTACAAGTCGAGCATCATGAAAAATATCTTTCTTAGAGTCAACACATTATTTGGATTCGTTTTACGGTTTCTAAATGTGCATAGATTGGACTTGTTAATATTTTGAAGACTCGAAGAGCAGCCCGAATTCGTCTCTTGCTCAAATGCCTAAGAGTTACAGAACTGAGAGTTAGTTAAAGTTAAAGTTGCACCTTGAGGTGAAGACAAAGACAAAGCAGGCGGCGAATTGGGGCCTGAGACGAAGTAGCTTGCATCTAATTTCCACAAAAATCCTATAATAGCTGCAACTGAATGCGTGCAGTAAGCGCATCTGGAATTCGTTGTGGCTCAACTCAAATTGAAGCTGCGACAAACTTGTGCTTGTTTTGGGTTGTTGTCGGCGTGTCGCTGTTGCTGTTGCTGTTGCTGTTGCTGTTGCATTGGCGCACACATCAATCAAAATTGATTAAATTTAATACAGATGTATGCGAGAGTAGCAACAACAGCAAGAACAGCATCTAAGTAGGCATTGCAGGAGCGTGCTGGCATCTCGGCCGCTTCGCACAGCCATCTGCGGTTCGGCTTGCAAAACCGCCAAAACCGCCTTAGGTAATTGCATGTGTGTGTGCGAGTGTGTGCGAGTGTGTGTGTGTGCGTGTGTGGACTCTTTAACCACAAGCACAACGAAATTGGAATACGTAACATCAACCAAAATCGGAACTAAACGGCCCAAGCAGAGTCGGGGGCAAGGCAAACCCGAACAACAATCGCATTATGATAATAATGCAAATGGTAATGCCAACAACAACAACAACAGCAACAACAATGGTAACAATAGAGTATCAGGAATGGAAACCTAGCTATCCAGTTACACACACACACACACACACACACACACACACACACACACACACTCGACTCTGAATGCCAACTACAGTGTTCCGCACATAAATCAGACTTTTGCATACAAAAAATAATTACGACGTTCTGGAAGTACACTCAAAAAAAATGATGTGCCCCTTAGGCTTTAGCAATATGATGAAAATATTTCTTAATTCAAGCAAAAGAAATTTTCTCATATAAAAAAAACAAGAGTATTTTTCTTAAATTCAGAAAAATATGCTTCAAAGAACTTAAAAAAATAGTTTTTTTAGTTTCAGAAAATCCTCCAAAAAGAAGAATGTGTTTCTTAACTTCAGGAGAATTACTGCTAGAAGAAAATTATCCTAGAAAAACAATTTACTCCCATATGCCATATTATCCCAGAAGAATATAATCCTAGCAGGACATGGACCTACAAAAATAGATTAACCTAGAAGCATAAAAAAACAGGATACTTTTGTTAATTTCAAAAAATTTACTCCTATAAGAATATTATTCTAGTAAAATGCTAAAAAATTGTATTTTGCTTGATTTGAAAAGTTTGCTTCCATTATTATATCCTTTATCGTATTCTATCATAGAATAATATGATCCAAGAAGATTATTATCCTGGGAGCATATTTACCTAGAAGTTTAAAAAAAACGGCATATTTTTCTTGATTTCAAAAAAATTACTCCTACAAAACAATTATCCTAAATGATTTTCGGAAATAAAGAAAAAAAAAATTTAATTTTTATATTCTTCTAGAATAATAAACTCTCTGAAATCATGAAAAAATATTTTTCCTTTTTGAAGATTTTCTTAAGTTTAAATAACGAAACGAACAATTATCAGAAATTTCTTTCATTTTTTTTTCTTTTTTGTTTCTTTTTTTAACAATTTAAAATTTTTTTTAGTGTACGTTCAGAGCGCATATGTTTTTCCCACAAACAAACCTATTTTTTGCAGTGCATTTTTTTATACCCAATCAAAGTGATGTATTTAGTTGTCAGAGAATCTAGCTGAAGTTTGCCTCGACTAACTATAAAAACGAAAATAATGCTCATACGACAACTGACTTTTTAGGTCGTTCTTTTCTTATGACAACTATCAGATATAGTCTACCGTTCAGGCTGATCTCGATATATGTGCTGGCTGCAGCAAAAATACATATCTGTTTCAAATTTCAAGAAGATAGCTTTCACACAAACTGAGTTCGCATAGTTGACTAAATAGTTGGATAGTTAGGATCTGTTCACAAAGAATTGAATGTTGATACTGATCCAATGTGTACTTAATTGTTTCTCAAATATCTTGTGCACATTTCTACACGCTATATATATTTTTTTTTGTTGTTTTTTTCGAAAAATAAGAAATTACGTTTCCAGAAAATTTCCGTTTCTATTATTGGAACAATTGTATTCAGTGTAAGTTTTAATTGCCGAGCGATCACTGTACGCTCTCTCTCTCTCTCTCTCTCTCTCTCTCTCTCTCTCTCACTGCGTGTAATTTCCTGTCTCTGTCTGACAGCTGTGCTCTTCGCATTTGACGTCATTTGCAAAAGTTGTACGCTGCGATAACGAAG